ACTCAAGGACGAAACATATTGACATTAGGCATCATTTCATTAGAGATCATGTTCTCAAAGGTGATGTCGAAATTGAGTTCGTTGAAACACACAACCAATTAGCCGACATTTTCACAAAACCTTTAGAGAAAGAGTCGTTCTTCCGCATTCGTAGTGAACTCGGAATCCTTGACTCCACGATGATCTAAGTTGTGCATTAAATATCATTTTTGATCCTTACTAACTTGAACGTCGGAGACGTTTTTAACTTTTTTTGCAGGGCTCTTCTTTTAATTTTATTTTCAGGTGTCAAAGTCAGGGGGAACAAAGTAAATCGATTTTTTTTGGACTAGGTATAAATCGATTTACAGGTTGTGATAATCGACTATCACAGCCCGCAGAAGTTTGGAGCAAAACAGGCGCAAACCTCAATAATCGATTATCATCATTAGGATAATCGATTATCGGAGCCTACAGAAGTTTGAAACAACTCAGCTGGAAACTCCAACAATCGACTTACAAAAACATGGAAATCGACTATTGAAGACCGCAGATCATTCAGCGGAGAATCAGAGGCCTCAAATAATCGATTTACAGGGAGTGTAAATCGATTTACAACAGTAGATTTTCAAAAATCTGACCGTTTTCTAGCCGTTTGGAGAGCAATTAATGCATGTTTTGAATTCCCCATCAGATCTCCAAACCTCTCCCTTATAAATTGGTGATATCTATTCCACTTTTACTCATTCCAATCAACTCTTCTTAATATTTTCTTCATACTTCATCAATCCCTACAATTTTTTCTTCATTTTCTCTGCAAATTTGCCTTGCTCTTCTCCCTATTTTGTTGAAATGGCAGGAGGACAAAGAAAGCGCTCCCGCACCGGAAAGAATGCTGCCTCCTCCTTGGCTCCTCCACCACCGGCGCACCAATACCTCGACGGATCTTTCTTATGGTTCAACGACCGCGCAGAGGCGACGCGGTTCTCGGAGAAGTTTGAGCACCGGGAAATTCTCCCTCCCCGATTCTCCACCGCCCGCTTCATTCATGACTCCATTCCACGTGAGGCACGGGTTATCCTCAAACGTGGAAACTGCCTCGACCTCCTCTACATCAAGAAGGCTCATTATCACCCCTTTCTTGTTCGAGCCTTCTACTCGAACTTGAAAAAGGATGAGGACGGAGCATTGATCTCTAACGTCAACGGGGTGGACATTTATTTGAATGAGGAAAACATTCAAATCCTCACCGGGCTTCGTCGAGACGGACAGGATCTCGGGCTCTACGTCGGAGAAGAAGGAGCGCGGTTCAATGAGACCGCTCTCTTGGAGGAAGTGGGCATCCGACACTTCGTCCCCACTCCCCAACAGCGGCGCCCTACAATTGCTTCCATGAGTCTCGTGTTTTGATTCATTTTTTATGTTTTGACAACGGATTCTCAAGACTAGGAAGTTCAATCACACCACTCTCTCCCAGGAGGACACGAAGACAATTCATGCGATGATTCACAAAGCCAATCTCAATTGGTGTAAATTTGTGATGACTCACATGTTCACCGCCACCTCCGACAATCGGCCGCTCCCCTACGCCCTCCTCGTCATGGCAATTCTTGAAGAGTATAACATCAAAACCGATGTTGGGCCAAAGATAAAGGGGACAAAGCATTGGGAGATTGATGAATCCTCTTTCCACTCGGGCACCGACGAGACTCCGTTTCGACAGCCTCGTCCACGCCGCCAACCAAGAGCCACTGCCTCAACCGCCACCACTTCGACCAATCCTTCTCTCGCCGAGCAAATGGCAGCCTTGACCGCCACTCTCTCTCGGATTGACACCAACGTCTCCAAAACGGAACACAACGTCAATACCTTGAGCCGTGAACTTCACGGGTATTTTGACTTTGTCAATTACCCGTACGCTCAATTGGTCCCTTACGTTCCTCCACCGAATTTCGGAGGTGAACAGAGTGGGACTCAAAACGTTGGTAGGGACGACGAGGTGGACGATGAGGAAGAGGAAGAAGAAGAGGAAGAAGAAGCCGAAGATGATGATGAAGATGAAGACGATGAAGAAGAAGACATTGACTCAGACCAACTTCTCAATGATCTTTCACCGGACTTCTAGAACTCTAGCTTTATTCCCTTCTCTTCTTTATTCTTTTTTATGCTTTTTAAATTTGCTTCCGTCATGTACTCTGCTATTTCCCTTAATTAATAAAAATCTTTATGGTTTTTGTTATCAAAATTCTTTTTGTTAATGTCAAAAGGGGGAAGATAATGTTAGAATACAGGCCCAACGCTAGAGGGGGGGTGAATAGAGTTTAAAACAAAATCGCAGAAAATTAAAAACGAGAGCGTTAAAGTAAAGAGCGTAAGGAAGGAGCACACCGAATTTTATCCTGGTTCACCACAACGTGTGGCTAATCCAGCCCCCCGAGAGACTCTCTTGAGCTACACTAACTCCGTTAAGCTTAAGGGTGCTTAACAAACCGATACAACTTGAGAACCCGAGTCAACTAGTAGATATGAGTGAACTAGTAAATGCTCAAGAACACGACAATTTCTTCAAGAATTGGCTCTCGAATAGCTAAGAAAAATAGGAATGCTTATGCAATGAAAGAGTATTGAAATGTTGAAGAATTGTGTATAAAATGAGAGGATTTGGGTGCCATTTTATAGCCCAAAATGGGATAAACACGTTGCTAGAGTTTCCAACAGGATGAAGACAAATTTTTCAAGGACACAGGCTGATAGTCGATTATCCAAGCTTGATAATCGATTATCAAAAGATTCCTTGTCCAAAAATTTAAAATTCTATCCGTTGGAGGACAACGGTAACCCTGATAATCGATTGTCAACAAGTGATAATTGATTATTGGTCCTCTCAGAAGATTCTGGGTTTTGCCTGCAAAGACTGATAATCGATTATTGCATAAGTGATAATCGATTATTGCGTGCTTTAGAACTTTGGAAGTTCAAAGCTGCAGGGGCTGATAGTCGATTTGTCACTAAGGTGATAATCGATTATCACCCAGCTAAAGTCTAGCCAGCTGAAACCTGTTTTGAAAAACCGAGGTGCAAAAACGAAGTGTCCCCAAAAGTAAAACCCAGGTTTGAAAAACATTGTATATGGTATAAAATAGTGATAACAAGACTTGTTTGGTAAAAACCAAGTCTCCAAGGTCGTACAATACGTGCGTACGGTTTTGACCGTTTTTCACGTGTTAGACCGATTGACCAAGATACAAAAGTGGTTTTTATAAAATAATTATTTGGGAACATTTTAAAAATGCTTAGAGGTAAAAACAGGGTTTAAAAAATTGAAAACCACGGAGTTGGTTCGGGCGTCAAAAACCGAACGCCGAAAGCCGAACGCCGACTTAGGTGGTTTCGGTTCTGAGCAAGGACCAGGGATTTTAACAATAAAAGAAATCATCAAAAATGTTTGTTTTGATGCACAAAAAATATTTTATGATTTGTAAAAATTGTTTTGACTTTTTGAGAACCGAGACTTGAATTTATTGTCGGTTTTGATCACAAAAGACCGACTCGACTAAGTCTTCAATTTTTGATCTTGTCCTTGAGTCTTTTAGGTCTTGTTCCAAGCCATTCTTCACGCCTTGAGTTATTCAACGAAACTCTTTATATCCACGGCGGTTTGGAAATTATCAAAACCTGTCAGAAATGAACACGATTTTAGTTTATCGTACAAAGTGTGTTCCAACAGATAAGGGCTATGCATATATTAAGGGGGAATTTTTTATTATGGGGGAATTTTTTTAAAAGATCAAAACCCTATGCATATCCCCGTCTTGTTTGCCATTATCAAAAGGGGGAAATTGTTGGAACACACTTTGTACGACAAACTAAAATCGTGTTCATTTCTGACAGGTTTTGATGATTGCCAAACCGCCGTGGATATAAAGAGTTTCGTTGAATAACTCAATGCGTGAAGAATGGCTTGGAACAAGACCTAAAAGACTCAAGGACAAGATCAAAAATTAAAGACTTAGTCGAGTCGGTCTTTTGTGATCAAAACCGACAATAAATTCAAGTCTCGGTTCTCAAAAAGTCAAAACAATTTTTACAAATCATAAAGTATTTTTTGTGCATAAAAACAAACATTTTTGATGATTTCTTTTATTGTTAAAATCCATTGTCCTTGCTCAGAACCGAAACCACCTAAGTCGGCGTTTGGCGTTCGGCTTTCGGCGTTCGGTTTTTGAAGCCCGAACCAACTCCGTGGTTTTCAATTTTTTAAACCCTGTTTTTACCTCTGAGCATTTTTAAAATGTTCCCAAATAATTATTTTACAAAAACCACTTTTGTATCTTGGTCAATCGGTCTAACACGTGAAAAACGGTCAAAACCGTACGCACGTATTGTACGACCTTGGAGACTTGGTTTTTACGAAACAAGTCTTGTTTTCACTATTTTATACCATATACAATATTTTTCAAACCTGGTTTTTTCTTTTGGGAACACTTCGTTTTTGGACCTCGGTTTTTCAAAACAGGTTTCAGCTGGCTAGACTTTAGCTGGGTGATAATCGATTATCACCTTTGTGACAATCGACTATCAGCCCCTTCAGGTTTGACAATCGATCATCACTTGGTGACAATCAATTATCGGGGTTACTGTTGTCCTCCAACGGATAGAATTTTAAATTTTTGACAAGGAATCTTTTGATAATCGATTATCAAGCTTGGATAATCGACTATCAGCCTGTGTCCCTGAAAAATTTGTCTTCATCCTGTTGGAAACTCTAGCAACGGGTTTATCCCATTTTGGGCTATAAAATGGCACCCAAATCCTCTCATTTTAAATACAATTCTTCAACATTTCAATACTCCTTCATTGCATAAGCATTCATATTTTTCTTAGCTATTTGAGAGCCAATTCTTGAAGAAATTGTCGTGTTCTTGAGCGTTTACTAGTTCACTCATATCTACTCTTTGTGAGAGTTTTATTCCTGAGTGTTTAAGTGTTTTCATACACTTTAAGGGAGGTTGTTCCCTTGTTGTAAACTCGAAGGAAGTTCCTTGTTCCTTCGTGAAAAGTCTTGGAGTGTGCGGTATCTCCGAGCAAAGGTGTTGAGGCTCGTGTGACTCGGGTTCTCAAGTTGTATCGGTTTGTTAAGCACCCTTAAGCTTAACGCAGTTAGTGTAGCTCGAGATAGTCTCGGGGGGCTGGATTAGCCACACGTTGTGGTGAACTAGGATAAAATTCGGTGTGCTCCTTCCTTACGCTCTTTACTTAACGCTCTCGTTTTTAATTTCCTGCGATTTTATTTTAAACGCTATTAACCCCCCCCCCTCTAGCGTTGGGCCTTTATTCTAACAGAAACAACCTATATGAACATTCTAGTCATTAGATATATCTAGGGGCTTACCTCAAAGCTTAATGGAGGTTTTGGAAATTTTCCGGCGAAACTTCTGGCGAGTATTTCTCCCAACTCCAGCGACTTCACACCAAATTGACATCACCACAACACTCCTCACACTTTCATGAACACTTAGGAAGAAGAAAGAAGAAGAATGGTGAAAAAATGAGAAGGTTGGGTTCTCTTATATAGAAGGAAAGAAGAAGAAGACAGCTATGGTGACCTCACAATTCTGTGATCGGCGTAGTGGGGAAGGAGGCGCCGTCTAAACAATTCCCTGATTGGGACCTATTTTGGTTCCAGTCAGGGTACACTTTTTGGTCCAACTTTCTCCAAATTGAAATCCGTTTGCACCGTTGCGATCAGACAGTCGAGCTCTATCCAAGGATATACTTTTCATAATTATTTGTAATACTTTTTCCGACATCATATGTTTGGGTGGTTGACTTTGACAAAGTCAAAATTGATTTATTTGACCTTTACTTAAAAAGGTACTCATACTAAATTCATATTATTTATTCTCATGATTTATTTCAATAAATCATTTTAAAGTTTACATCATAAACACATTATTCATTTATTGCTGATTTTAGGTTTGTACTTAGGTTCCCAACCAAGATTACACAATTAGTCAACATATTGGATTTATCTCTACGAGATTTATCCAGATTAAGATATTGGATATCAAACACATATTATTTCGGCCCAAAGTCCAACAATAAACTATTTTTAATCAAAACAAATTTGATTAATTTATTATTTATTTATTAATAATTCTAGGGTATGTTTTGGGGCGTTACATTTGGAGTCCGAAACAACCAAGTGGTTTTCAAATTTTTATGATTGGTTTTTACTTTTGGGCACATTTAAATAGTTTTCCATCAAAAACACTTTAAAAACCACCTTTCGTTTTTTGTCGTTTGATAAAAACCATGCGAAACGACATAAACTTGGCTAGCCGTGGTTTTTACTTAAATGAAGTGGTTTTCGAGTCTTTTTGTGTGGGAATTGTTTTTGAATGCATTTAAATGGTTCTCCAATCAAAACATCATGAAAACCACCTTTCGGTTTTGTCTTTTGGTAAAAACCACCCGTGTACGGCGTTGACTTGG